CTCAGCACCGCTGAAGCCGTGCAGATCAGCAGATGGGGTATTTTGGGCGCAGGCCTGGGCAGTATGTGTGTTGGCTTAGGGCTCTAGAAGCTGCAAACACAGCGGGGCCAAGGCGTGCTCCTTGGCAGTGTCTCTGTGTTGCTTTCATGCTCCTGAGCTGGAATTCGGCTCTCTGGCACCCAAACCCGCATCTCCTCTGAGAACAGCAGCGCTGCGGCCTCGGTCGTGCTTTGCAGGGCTCACTCCAAAGCTCACTGGAGAGTGACCCCCGTTTGCTTCACAGGGTCTGGGTGGGCTTTGGGAGCCCAAGAAAACCCACCGCAGACAATGTCACAGGCAACATGAAATCCCCTGCGTTGGCCCATGCTTCAGTGCTCCATCGCTCAAGCCACACACCTTGCAAAAAAGGACGTTTGTGGTCATTCCCAGCACGCAGACGAAGCCAACTGGATGGTTTCCACACCTGGTTTCACTGTTTTGCTTTCCTAGGTTTTCCTTTCCCAGTAGCTCCGGGCTCTGCCCTCACCCCAGCCTGCCCCCAGCCCTGCCCGCACCTTCCTTCCCTGCTGCCCCCTCCCTCTGGCCGCCCCGGGCACCAGCGTGCCGCCCCGCCGATCACAGGTGCCTCCCACGAAATCGCTGGGGTGACGCCGGGGATTTTTGGCTGCAGTGCCACACAAGCGTAGGTGCCACACCTGAGTGGCTGCTGATAAAAGGTGCAAGTTTCGGAAGGATTTATTTACTGCTTCCTCCAACCTCACCCAGGGATTCCTGGTGGTAAACTCTGGGTTGTTTTAAAGGCAGGAGTGGGGGGTTAAAACAGCCACACCAGCATTGCACATTGCCTTCCAGCAAGTTTAGGCGTTAATGCTGGGTGACGTAATTTTCAAATGCACATCGTTCCCCCAGCCGTTCATGTAGCATGAACCTAATAGTTATGGCCAAACAACTTGCGAGCTCTCCTTTGTAATATTTTCTTCTTAGGCTGCTCTTCTGGGCAGCTGCAGGGATTTTGCTACTGAAACTCCATCCTGCGGCTAGCCCCAAACGCCCTCCCCATAGCTTTGCTGCTGCCCTATGGCACCTTCCTCAATGGTAGTTCTGCCCTTAGCTTGGAAACAAAGTAGACACCGGCTACGGCATTTCTGCTGCTTGTTTTTTCAGTTTACACATCCCACTAATAACCAGCCAAATCCAATTGCTTCTTACCATCACTCCTGTTCCAGTAAAGCAGACCTGCCTTTGAAACGAGCCTGGCCCACTGCACCCACAGGTTCTCCTTAATGGGCATACATTGTGTTTTCCCATAAAATCGTAATTTGTGTGGGCCTGAGTCAAGCAAGTACATTCCCCGTTAATTTTCTGTTTTCTATGCTGGATGCTTTTTCTGCAGAGAGTGTCGTTACAGAAAGACTGAAATAATTCAGTATCTGTTTCTTGAGTTTTTCCTTGTTTGTTTTCACTCTACCTTTCAGACCGCAGTGAACATTTGGGAATGACATGAACCACTAATTGATAGCTTTCCCGAATTAGACTTGGAAAGTTTATGCAAAAAGAATAAAATAGCAACCCAAACTCAGACTATAAACAATTCAGTCAAGGGAGCAGCTCCTGAGTGAAGCTCGACCTCCCAGTCTGGAGCAAAAGCTGCTTTCCCTGCCCTGCTGAGTTACTCCTGGTGCTGGGATTCGCAACAGGGCTCTGTCACCATGTTTGAGGATACATTTAAACAGGCATGCATTATTAAGCCCATTTTTTTTTTCTGAAAACACATCTCCAGAAGCTGTGAAATGCTCCGAATTGGGAAGTAGGCTCTTCTGTGGCACCCGCGGACATCCTTTACTGCCCTCCTGCAGCCTGTGGTGGCAGGCAGGGAGGAAAATCAGGAGGGAATCAGGTCTGGTAAGTCAAGTCATTAACAGGCAACTACGCAAAGGTCACAGAAAAATGAATTGCTACTCTTCGCTTTAATACCAAGGATTTTTTTCCACCAGGGTTGTAAAAGTAGATGAGACAACTGGGAGTTGGGAAAAGTGAAGTATTTTGCAGTTTTGCTCCAAGGAATCATAAAGAATCATAGAATCATTTAGGTTTGAAAGGACCTTTAAGATCATTGAGTCCAACCGTAAACCTAGCACAGCCAAGTCCACCACTAAGCTATGTCCATAAGCACCACAAGGGAATAAACTCTGAGTTACAGTCTGGTTTCTGCTGATCTGCTGCCACTTCGGCTGCTACCTCACCAGGAACGAACACCCCTGTTTTCAGCTGGGAACCCCAAAGCAGGGCTGTCAGATGGAAGACGTGCGTGGATGAAGTGAACAAAACAAGAGGGAAAAGACCTGTGGTGCCCAGTGACAGGACCAGAGCAATGGGCGCCAACTGGAACACAGGAGGCTCCCTCTGACCGTCAGGAAACACTTTTTCACTGTGAGGGTGACCGAGCGCTGGCACAGGTTGCCCAGGGAGGCTGTGGAGTCTCCATCCCCAGAGATATTCCAAAGCTGCCTGGACACGGTCCTGGGCAACCGGCTCTGAGTGGCCCTGCTTGAGCTGGGGGCTTGGAACCGGCTGGACCCCAGAGCTCCCTTCCAACCTCAAACCCTTCTGTGATACTGTGGCCACCCCTGGGATATGTTAATTTTACCTAGCCTTGAGCAAAATGAAAGTCTGGTGAAAAGACAACTTCCAGGTTTTGTTGTGATGTCAGCTTCAGGACTAAAACCCCACAGAGGCTTACAGATGAAGCAGGAGGAAAGAAAATACACAAATTTTAGTGAGTATAAGCATTGACTGCTGGACAGGTAACTTCCAAAAGTAGATCAGCTGGAGAGCAGCTGGCTGGTGGGCCCCAGGCTCTTCAGGGGGGATTTTCACCGAGGCCCAGTGTTTTGGGGAGACGGCCAGAGCTGGGGAAGGGGCAGCCCTCGGAGCCTCACCGAGCGTTGGGGCACAGCCCGCTCCCCGCAATCGAATGACAGCCTCTTCTGAGGGTCAGGAAGAGGAAGAGCATCCGCTTTTTTACTGGTGTGGTCTGTCAGCAGGGGGAATTACCGGGCTGCAGCTCGGTCTTCTTTCCTTCCGACCGGGAAATGGGTGGCACCTGCCCCCATGAGTCAGGGGCAAGGAGCGAGCCCCTGACCAGAGCTGTCCCACACCTACCCGCAGAGCTGGCAAGAGGAAAACCTGCCGCCTTCCACCCTCAGGACAAAGGCACGGGGTTTTTCCAGACCCAAACCTATTCATCAGTATCATGCAGCGGCACAGGCTATGACGGCTTTCTAGTGGGAAGGGGGGAGAGTCGAGTCCCAGCGGGCGCGTAGCCAGGCTCCTGGGCCGCACCGAGCATTTCATGCAGCTTCCCAGTGCCACAGGTGACCTCAGCTCGCCGCCCAGCTCCTCAGCCTCTCCTTCGTCAGCTGACAGGACGCTAATTGCTGCAAAGACTTTTTCCAGTTGAGCACGTGATTGTGCCTTCGTCATCTGCGCAAGCCCCCTTCCTCCCTAAGTTTTCCCATGCTTAATTTGACTTTGTAGCAGCAGGAAATGACAAGTCCTGTCTCTTTTTTTCTTTCCAAGTGTTTCATACTACTTCACTCTACCTAGATGCACAACGTCTGAGCGGGAAAGCACAATGAACTCATGAAGTATTACCAATAGGAAGTGACATTTTTCCTCCTTTTGTTCAGTAAATTCCCTATGGACTGCAGTTAAAATATTAGAGACATTTTATTTAAAGACAGGAAGGTTGTGTTTTCAACCTAGATAACATTACTGATTTAATTTTCTGTCCAACTGAAAGCAAATCTGACTGCACTGAACAACTTTCAAGTGAAGATTGAGAACTTGTAAAAAAAAAAAAAAAAAATCCTGAGAATATTACCTTCAATCAGGTGCTGGCTCTAAACCATGCGTTAATATCAGAAAAATCAACACAGCATTTCACTTAAGACGTTCTTAGTATGTGTCAACTTCAAGAGTCTTTTATGAAAGCTGCTATTTTCGAGCCTGTGCTTCACAAATTTGCCAGCATGGGTAGCGGCAGAATTATATCTCAGGCAGGTATCTTCTGATGGTTGAACGGTGACCTTTTCCTTAATGACAGGGCGCCGAAGGTCTTGAATGCAAATGGATTTTTGCCCTTATGTCCATTCTTCAGCAGTGCTTTTTCTTCCTAGGGCCAGCCTTATCTGGTGGCTACGTGCTCTAAAAAAGAAAGGGTAGGCTTGAGGAGGTATTGTGAAATTTCTCTACACTGAAGTGTGCCTGACTTCAGGTGCTGTTGCTTTACAATCAAGAGGACTGCTACTATGGAAACTAATTCTCAAACCATGACAATTTTCACTGAAATACCAGGCACTTCTTTGCAGATTAGTTTCCAGACCTCTCAGCCCCGACAGTGACCCTTGTTTCACGTCTCTCTTCTAAGTAATGGCATCAATTGGACTCGAGCGATCGGAACTTAACCCCCTTGTAATCAGAATCGCTGTCACCAGAGGAACGGGATTTATTAGGGAAAGGCTGGGTTAAGGAAACAGCAGAAGAGCTTCAAGAACCCGTGTTTAACTTTGCTTGGTCCTGCTCATGCTGTTAATACTACTCATATTTCTCACCAACAGAGCATGTTCTCATGTAATTTATGAGGTGCAACACGCTGGTTATAAGTGCCATATCCTAATGCAGAAGTTGTTTCTCCACGTTATGCTGCTTAAATATTTCTCTCCTTTTTTAATACTCCTTAACCTGCATAGGGCAGTTGATCCCTAATTACAGTGAAAAGTAATCCATAACACAACTTAAAACTATGACAGCATGTGAAAGTGTTTTTCACAGCATGACAATGATTTATAGCCAGTCAAGGGTTTGAAACGCTCCTTTTATTGCATATATTTTGTCTTACTTTACAAATAATTATGTGCACTGATATAAATGTTCCTTCACAGAAGGTACATTTCTTTTTTTAAAAAAAAGGGCTAGAGTGTCATCCAAAAATAAGCCATTTATTGTTCGTTAATATAAAACGTATTCATATTTCTAGGAGGTATCATATCCAAACCGCTGCTCATCCAAATTTCTTGTATGATCTGCTCCCTGCGCTCTATCCTTTCAGCCAGTTCCGCCGCCTCTGTTGAATTATAACCTGAGTAAGAAGGTCTGTAAAGGCCCGCTATCTCATCCCGGACATCCGAATCGGAGGAATCCTCCTCCTCCTCCTCCTCATTTTCACTGTTCTCGTACACTTCATCACTTTCTGGCACTAACTGATCCTCCTTTCTGTGCAATTTCTGGAAGTCATTTGAGCACGACATGCGGATCACCAAAGCACACAGCGTGAAGATTAATCCCACACAAACGCTGGACACAAACAGGAGAGCAGCTCTTTCAAGGTGATCTGAAATCAGAAAGCCAGTGCTTAAACACTTCACAAAATCTGCCAAAGCCTAGCTACAAAAAAAGCCAGCTGCCATTTCCGAAGCACCCTGCATTATGTAGCCACAACGGTGGGGTGTGCCTGGGGGGACGTGGGGTGGGGGGAGGCTTCTTCTGTCATGCACTGAAACCACCCTGCGCTTGCAGTCTGAATGCTGCCGTCTCTGCCTCTTCAAATTACCGTGCAAAAACCCCAGCCTCTTAATAACATTTTCCCATCTTTTTATTAGCAACTTACTAGCATTCCCAACCAGCTACCAGAAGCATGTCCTTTTTTATTTTTTCCAGCTATCCTGCCAAAAACAGGCCTTACCCTCATGAAGAGGGGGCATGGGAAGAGCAACTCTGGGCTCTGCGGAGTCACAGCAGCATCTCCAGGCCAGGCTGGGTAGGGAGCATTTTTCCTCCTTGACATATGTCCGAGATCACTTCTCAGTATAGCAACAAGTGAAACAGGGACAGAGTTTTCTCAGTGGGTTTGAAAACCCAGCCCTGGCTGCTTGGGGTGTTGCTAGGAGCTCTCAAGGATGGTGGGGTCTGGGGATTTGGGGAGAGCTGCTGGGGGCAGCCGGCTGCTGCCAGCAGGGACATTCTGTCTCGCCGTGCCGGCAGGCTGCGGCCGCTCTACGTGCTGGCAGGGGAAGCCCTTGCAAAGGCTGTGTGATGATGCTCGACAGTTGCACGGTTTTTGGCATCTTCTAGAAGTGCAGCAACCTTAGCTCCAGAATTGCTTCTCAACATCAGCCTTTGCTCACTCCCAAAATTTGTGACTTCTCCTGTGGTGTTAGAGATCTGGCGATCATGAACTTACCTGCCTAACCAAAATTTGCCTTAGTGTGGCTAAGTCACAAAACCTGCCATGGCCCATACCAGAGATGGCTGGATTTGGGTTGTTTGTTTTTTTTTTACTGCTTCTCAATGATCCTTATATGTATGCAAACCAACATTTCCAAAAATGGATGTCTCCAGCGCCGCTCCCAGATCAAGACCAGGTTTTCAAAAATACTGAATAACTGACAGTCCCCATTGAAGATACTCATTAAAAAATATCTTGGCCGCAGCTTCTAGAACAGTTTGGATCCTTCAAGGTGGAAAATATTCTATAAAAGTCAATTATGCTGTCCCATCCACAAGACTGTGATTATATTGTAATGATATCATTACTACAAACATGGGATTACCAGTTGTGGCCTTCTGAGGTGATCCTCCCTTTTCCCCAAATGCCATGTTCTAATGAACCACACAATCTCAGCCTCATTTTCCTACCTCTAATGTATGCAAATGTCGCCAAGGAGCTGCTAACAATAATTCCATCTTTCTCTGGAAGTCTTGATTCCTTTGGATCAAGGTCGACACCTGTGACACAGGGAGGTAAGGCAAATTCAATCATATCATAGATGACAAAGCTACTAAACTGATATTCACCCAATAACTTTTAAACTAACAAGTCCACCTAAAACACAGGCAGGCCAGCTGTGCCGTAGGAACCTTGCAGAACATTACACCAAACAATGGCTGGTAAATGAAATAAATATTTAAATAAAGTATAAGTATCAAAGTATTGAAACTACTGAATACCTAGAAAATGGCAAATTTCTTTAAAAGAATCTATTATCAAGTGAAACCCCTTGCCTACTCCCATTAAGGTTTCTGAAATAATTGCACTTCATTAAGCTTCACAGCCCTATCACTGCAGCACCCTCCCATTATGGATGACAGTGAATATGCATTGGCCACAGCGTTAATTTTGCTGCCTTTAAGACGAGCGGGTGTTGGCATAACTCTTTAAAGACTCTTCACTTTAAAACTGCAGTTTCACTTCTACTTTTCCCATGGTCCAATCAATCAAAGTTAGAAGACAGCACGCAGGTTATGGGTAGGCCCGGACGGGTCACTGGTTTCACAGCGTTGCTGTGACAGCAGGACCGTGCTCGCGTGGGTCCTGTCCTGCGCCCAGCCCGTTGTGCCGCGCTCCCAGGGGACGAGCAGCTGTTTCAGCAGGGTTTCCATTACCTCATCCCACCTCTCTTGGACCAAGCTCTGCGGTGGGAAAACGTCCTATTTCAGCCAAAGACAAAAGAGACCAGCAAACAGTAGGTTTTTTGATGGTACGTACCATCGTTCTGTTTGACGGAAGACTTGCTATTGGTGACCAGGGGATTGACAGCCGTGAGGATAAATTTAGGAACTGAAAAGACGAAAGACAAATTGTGTGCTGTTAGTTTTAGGAACCAGATCCCCAGTTAATTACCATTCCCACTGCTAACCCTGGGTTGATTAACTGGGTTTCCAACAGTGGTACTGAAGGGATCGGAGCGGGCGGCCGCATCCGGACCCA